ACCAATTGCCCTGTCCCTTGTGTTCCCTCCACCTGGGAAATGAAAATGAAGGAAATGAAAAGAATCACAGCTGTGGTCCTGTCCTAATGAGTAGAGAAAGAAGGATTCCAAAATTGCAGTCTATTTCTTCAGAGGATGACTATCTCTGCAAGTTAGAAATGTCGCATTCTGGAAGGCCACACTTACGAAGCCCCTATGAGGCAGCACACTCAGAAACGGGCAAAATGGGCCTTAGGGATTCATAGGAGTCGATGTGGGCATTCGATGCTGGTTCAGAAGTCCCTGCTCTGGGATGGCTTTCACAGTCCTCCCATGAACTCCACAAACACACAGAAGGTGGGATGCTGCTCACTCGCACGGAAGTGTGCACAGCACTGACATGTGCCTGGGAGCTCCTTCTCTAAGCTCCCCTTGTAATCACTGCTGATGGAGATTGCGAGTCAGCAGACAACACCCCAACACCTGCTTGAAGAGACAGAGCAGATACCACAAAGATGCCCCTGTTTCCTTGCTCTGATGGAGCAAATGTGACACCACAGCTGAATCCTCATGGATCCTCATGGAATGCTTCTCGCCATCTCAAATTGCCCCTTCCACTGCTACAGGAGCACCCTTCAGTACAAAGCAGAGACTCAAGCAGATCATTACCGTGTAAAAAGCTAATATATTTCAGTGCAGTTATCTGATTTGGTGACACAGAAATAGGCTGCAGGGCCAAGACAGATGCCTGTGTTATCCAGCATAACTAAACATCTCCTTCAGGACACACCGCAGGGGATCTATGGGAAGCCATGTCCCTTTCGAGTCGTTTTAGGGCAAAATCTCACAAGGTGTCTCCAAGGGTACCATGTGCCTCAGGGTGAGCAGTGAATCAAGCTTCACAAACTCAAGTGGAGTCACCCAAAGGTACAGTGCAAATGCAATGAATGTCCAGGCGAGGGAGAGCTCTGCACTCCCACAGATGGCAGAGGGGACCCTACAGGCACAGAAAAGGGTGCCTGCAGAGTCATTCCTGTCACCTTCACTCTCATGGGACGGTCTTGGGGGAAACTCAAACAAATCCTGAGCCATCTGAAAAGCCCAGTGATTGCTCAGATCTTTGTCCATGGCCACAGAGCCCTTGAAAGTGTGGTCAGGTGCAGTGGTGCCTGTCCAGCTGGGTCTGCAATCACCAGGGACAGTGTGGCGGCCCCTTGGGACACTATAGGGCAACAGGCAGTTGCTCTGCAGAGCAGCAGCAGATACCTGGGGCCCTGCTGCCAGGTGGACCGGCACCAATGTCCCCACCTGCAGAAAGACTCTTGAGGACCAAGGATACACCTGGAGAAGAGGAAAGGAGCAGCGGTGCTGGACAGAGGGGCTGGTAAGGGGGTCTGCAGGCAGCCTGAGAGTTGGGAATCTCCTGGACGGCAAAAGAAGGGGCAGTGAGTGTCACTGATGCCCTGGGGCCAGTTGCAGCATGGAGGCTGATGGGCCTTCTGACACACACAGCCCGCTACCCTGGAGCTTGGGCTGTGGGGCGAATGTYCCCAGCTCTGCTGTCCCCTGCGGTGGCCATTGCTGCGGGGCCACCTCCTGCCTGGGCTGCTCTGCTGGTTGGGCTGGCGAGAGGGCAGGGCAGCTGGGGAGGGCTGGGCAGGGGCTGGGCTGCGCTACAGAGGGTCAGTGTTGGCCGAGCTGCGTGGACRGGCAGGGGGAGGACACGCAGCAGTGGTTGTGGTGCAGAGCTCTGGTGCTGTGTGCTCACCAGGACACATGGGTGACATCAGTACACTCCATTACATACCACTGCACACCAGTACAGGCCAGGAAACCTGTACAGACCCCCCCACACCAGTACACACTAGCAGATGCCAGCAGAGAGCAGCACACACCACACTAGAGCTGTACACACCAGTACTCAGCAGTGCACACCAGAACACAATAATACAGATCGTTACACCCAGTGCACACCAGAACACATCATTACACACCAGCACACWCCATTATACACCAGTACACAGCATTACATACCAACACRCACCAGCCAAGAGCAGTACACGCCAGCATTGACAACAATAAACACCTGTGCACACCACTGCACACCTGTGCACTACAATACACAACAGCGCGCACCAGGGAACACGAGAACACAGCTGTGCAAACCATTACACACCAGTACATAGCAGTGCACACCAGAGGTCACTAGTACAC